GAGTTCAGAGTCTGCCTACGCCGCCATCTTGACTCCGCCTCTGGACCACAGTGATCTTGTAAGTGGCGCAACCCAGTGTTTAAAGAATCCAGCAAACTCACACAAACATATGGTTTATGTAGAAAGGAGGGAAGAAAGTTGTAAAGCATTTTTTTAGTTCAACAAGAAAAGCCACATATATTTATTACTTTCAGAAAATAATCTTAATTAATGGTTATATCCATGGCAATACACTGTTTTATAAACAATTAATCATACTTAACACTTTTACTGTTGAAGTGTAAGCCCTGGAACTCCATTTGAAAACACCCCATCACAAAGAAAAGAACAGACCTCAGAATATGACTACACATGCTCAGGGGAGGCAGAAAGAGAAACAAGAATTTTTAACACATTCAATGTAATACTAGAATCTTTTATTTTTTTCTGAAATTTACCTATTTCTTGCCTATTTGGAAATACTTTATACTGCTTTTCAAGCCCACTGATTACATAATCTTTAACTTTTGAAAACCTGAGGCTCCACTAAGTGAGTAAATCTTTTCAAAGTGACAAACCCAGGTAAGGGCAGTGCTGACAGGCCAGAACACACAAGAAAGTTTGCACAAAGGAACCTCCACTCCAAGGTCTTCCCATAGGATGTCTGTGCCAGGAGAGAGCCTGGGAGGGGCACAGGGACTTCATATGATGGATTCCAGGAGGTCATTCTCTGCTCTCCTCTCATGGAAAAGAGTCACAGACAAAATATAAATCTCACAGTCGACTCAGCCAAAACCAAACTCCTAACAGGTCCCCACCAAGCAGGACCTCCCCTTGTCTCCCCAGCTGCGTCTCTTATTTCTTAGCTCAGGCCATAAATTCAGCACCGATTTCAACTCCTCCCTCCCCAGCCCCACCCCTCACCACTTCCCATCTGTACACATTCCTACTGTCTCGACCTCCAAATACACCCAGAATTCCACCTCCTCTCCCCACACTGACCTAAGCCTCCAAGGCCTCTTGCCTGGATTATTGCCACAGCATCCTAACTGGTCTCCTTGATTCTGCCCCGGCCCCTCTGTGGTATATTCTCAATAGAGCAGTGAGATTGAGTCTGCTAAACATATGCCCGGCCATGTTACTCCTCCTCTCAAAACCTTCCAAAGGATCACCATCTCATTCAGAATAAATAAATGCCCAAGTCCTCACTATGACCAACAAGGCCCCACAATTGGGCCCAAGTCACCACTCTGCCTTCAGCTCCTGCTGCCCTCACCAGCTGTACCCTGGCCACACTAGCCTCCTTGCTGCTCCCAGAGCAAGCCACTTGCCCTTCCTCCTGCACTGCTTTTGGGCCTTGTTCAAAACCTACCTCTGCAGTGAGACCTTTCCTGACCCTCCTGGCTACAACTCCACCCCCCTCAAGCCTGGCACACATCACTCTCCCACATGAGCCACACCATTGGTGTCACATACAGAACATCACCCAGGGCACGCTTTTTGTGTTTAGTTGACTTCTCTGGCCCCAGGGTCTAGAACAATGCGTGACACAAACATTGCACTCAATAAGAAGTGTAGTTTAATGAATAGATGACTATAAAAACAGCTAGGAACTGCATAACCCTTGGGCAAGAAGGCCGAATCTGTAAGAACCCCAGGGGCCAGGGGAGGCTGGTCAATTAATCAGCCCTAAAAGGACATACAGCATCATGTTAGAAAGAAAACTCCCCACCATATCCTACGAATACCATACATGTTTTTTATCAGCATCAACAGAGACCTTCAAATATAAACGCCTTTTCTACTTTGAAGCAGCCTTCAGTGTTCCATTACCACTCATCACGTGACTACTCCTAACTTTAACATGATGACTTTCACATCTAAGGTAATATGACTTACATTAAACTGTGTTTTCTATCTTAACCAAGTCTCGCCTGTGAATGGTCATAAGTACACAAGCAGTAATAACCTGAAAACAAATGGATAAGTAAATAATGCTATTCATTCCCCCATGCTGTGCCCCGAGCAAACAGTACAACACTGTCTGATTCTTTGTCTTTTTTAAACAAACTTCACCAGAAATACATCTGCTGAACATGCTCCTTTGGAAGTCAGGGCTACTGTTTCCTCCAGCCACCTAACACCTTTAAGTGACCAGATGCCACAAAGCATTGAAATATTGCCTACATGTCTACTGTACAGTTCCCAAACTGAGATTTCAGTAAACTTATGTTGCAGTTGCCAGGAAAAGTAAAAGGAAGCAAAAACAATGCCATCCACGAAGACATGTGGAATTAAAGCAAATGAAAGTCTTCCTTTACAGATGCAGGGTTACTTGAAAGCAAATCACTCCTTACAGGGAATGAGGGAACTAAAATTGCTGTGGGAAGAAAAAGAGAGCCTGTGTACAAATGCTTTCAAAGCAACTTGCAAAAATCCTAAATATCTTACTAGCAAAAATTAGCAAACTGTCTCCTCTGGAGCAGAAGCATGCTAGTGATGGTGCTCAGGGCAGGCCACCCCAAGATGCACTACTCTGATATATGGATTATTTCGAGCTGAAGGCAATAAAGACTCAGAAGACTCAGGAAGAACATTTGAGTTTCCCCTCCCAAACTGCCTAAAGAATTTAACATAGAAGACCTGTTTCAGGAGGGAGCCAATATCATATGATGGCTGTAATATAATGTAAAATAGATGTTACAATAGGAGAGGCACCAACAAGCCCATTTTATCAAAATTTCTGTCTCTCCCTGGCCACATTCTCTATAGCTTGCCCTGAAAAGAGTTGTCTGACAAACATTTGCATTTTTATCTCCATGTAAATTGTCTTTTTCTCCTCTGAAATCGCAAAACAGTACCCCTCCAACACCTTCCACGCCTTTAGCTACAATACGATACTTAAGCAAGCAGCTTAGACTGAATGACGAGCTGCTCATTTCCGAGTTTCTCCCATATATACATGTTATTAAACTTGGTATTATTTTCTCCTGCTAACCTGTCTTTTAATTATTTGGGCAACCATAAGAACCTTAAGGGAAAGAGCGGAGGAGGATTCTCCCTCTTCCCCGACACTAGCATTGGCCAAAGCACCAATAACCCACCCCTTCCCCCAAACATATTGAATTAGGACCCTGAGAATCTAAGACCTGACGAGATAGATTGTTTCTCTTTTTCATCACAGAAAAAGAGGGTGGAATGATCTATCAGTCAGCAAAAACATGCGTGTGTTGTGAGCATTGGAGTAGGTTCCTCCCCTTCAGCCTACAACATAACTTCAAAGGAGTTACATAGCTTCCACTTCTTGACTCCTGGAGGGGAAGGGAAAAGCCTCCCAAGAACCAGCACCCCACCCCACCTGGCACCCTCCTCCCCTCCCCGATGCCTCACTGTCCCTCCCACCCCAGTGGCCGTGGATCTGTCAGGCTGGTGCCCCAGCCCTGCCGGTGTCCCTGCCTCCCCTCCCGGATGCCCCGCTGTCCCTCCTTCCCCAGAGGCCGTGCACCTGTCAAGCTGGCGACCGAGTGCCGAGGGCAGACGGCAAGAGCATCCAGACCCGCAGGGACTGGGCTGTCAGATGCGCCGGTCTCACTACAGGAGCTGTCCCCACCCGCTCCGTCCAAGGACCCCCCTCCACCCCACGGCCCCGCCCCACATCACGCCTGCCAGTCCCAGCAGCTGAGGGCCCAGGCAAGCGCAGCCTTCCAGGCCACCAGGCGCAGGTGCGCCCCCACCTGCTTCCCTCTTCCCACTGCCCTGGAGAAGGAGAACAACGCAATGGGCAGCTGCTGGTGCCAATCCGGCTGAGCAACACAGTGGGGACAGAAGTGCATCCTTCGCCATCTTGGCATAAGGCGGGGCCCCTCGAGGAGGGCTGGCCGCAGTGTTGCTCCCCCTCGGTCTGGGTCATTGGCTCCAAACACCACAGCAGCGACCCATCAGGGCAGTGGAACAGATGAGTTTGGGCAGCACGACCCTGGGGTGGGTGTGTCAGCCAGCATTTTGCCTAGGCCCACAGATGTGGCCATCTTGCTTTACAGAGGATGGACGGGCACATGCTGGCATCTTGCCATCCTACAGTGGTGGGGACCAACTCCCACATGCTGCACAGTGGCACCATGAGCCCTAACCTTGGGGCAGTCCTGCTGTGGGGCGGCGAGGGGTGGCCGGAGCCTGGCGGCATGACAGCCTGTGGCCCGGGATGGTGTTTGCTGCATGGCTGCGAACTTCTCCCACCGCCGGGCAATGAGAAGAAACCACTGTCTCCTTCCACAGGTAACCGGCACCCACTGCCCGGTCAGCCCCCCTTGCAGTCCAGCCCGAGGTGGGCGGCACTCTGTGCTCAGGGCCTCGGGGCCGGTCCAGCAGGTGAGTCAGTGCTGGGCACTGTGTGGCCTTGGTCTGTGCCACCGTCTCTGCTGCGGGCACCTTGGGCCACTTAGGCTACCCCATGGCCACCGGCGCCCACCTTATGGCATCCACCACCTTCTCACCCCACACCCCGTCGCCACCCTGCTCTCCACTGATTTGGGCTGGGGCCACCAAGGTCGAGAAACAGGGTTTTCTGGAAATGCTTTTCCTTAGGTCACTATCTTCTTGGATTTGCTGTGACTTTTCTGCTCTTTTGATGGCAGGGATCCTGCCTTGATCTCTGTTATCAGGAATGTGGCTGAGCAAATGCAGCTTGTACCTGCTGGATGGATACACCTCCCAGATGCTCTGTTGCTAGAAGGGTCCTGGCAGTGCAGGGAAAGGTGGCTCTACACTGGAGGTGAGTCCTGGAGAGGACTCTGCATCTGACAGCATCCTGGATGGAGCAAGGCACAGCCCACACCTCATGGGGAGGCTGACCCTACGGACTCAGACTCTGCGTCTGACAGCATCCTGGGTGGAGGAAGGCATGGCCCACTCCTCACCAGGAGGCTTACCCCAGGGACTTGGGGAAGAGGATCCTCTCTTCACGCCTTCCTTGGGCTCCCACAGCATGATGAGGGTCCCACAGGCCTTCCCCCTGGCCTGGCTCCTTTCATGAGGGCTTCTGGAATTCAGCTAGCTCAGCGGGTCCTTTCCTGCGGACTCTGCACTGGAGGTCCCAGAACAGTGCACTGAAGACATTCTACTTTGAAAACCTCCTGGCAGATCCTTTTGTTTCATGTTGTAGGTTGTTACTGAATTTTGAAAGACCTGAATGCCACTTGTTGTCTGTAGTCTTATTGAAAGTTTACAGTGGTTTGTTCTAAGTCAGAAGTTGTTACAATCTATCCAGAAAACTAGTAACATGAGCTTGTTTCAGAGGTCAGCCACCATGCTTTCTTGACGGTTTCCTTCAGAGCCTGTGTCCCAAAAGTTTTGTTACTGTTTTTGAGAATGAGGCAAAGGACTGCAGAGAAGGTTGTTTTTGGCGTGTGTTGTGGTCTAACGTGGTCTGGGGGCAAAGGAGGTGGGGGTCCTTTGGTAACTAGTCACAAAGCATTGAGAAATGTTAGAAGGTCATGTTGCTTGGAACTCCCTGAGGAACCTAGTATCCACCTGGTCTGGTCCACAGTGGCCTCAGGGGGCTAGATGACCTCAGGTGGAGCAGACAGCCCTTGGGAGAGAACCCCCCAACCCCCCATGTACACAGTTTGGTCTAAATAAAGATTTCACCTTAATGAGGAGGAGAGATGACGAAGTGTCTTAGTCAGTACCTTGCAGGCGCTGGTTGTTTTGTACCGGGAGCAGCTTTCCTCCTGGCAGTGGAAATAGAGGAGGAACACAGAACCACAGCTCTTGGGGCTGACCTCCTCTTGGCAGCAGTCTCATGTCCTCAGCTGCTTGAGCAGAGCTGGGGCCAGGTGCCCTGCTGAGTGCTTGGGAGGCTTTGCTGGCAGACACTTGGCCAGGTTTTGAAATAGGGAGACTAACCATTCCTGTTTTAGCACCCAAATTCCTGCATCCCAGGGACAGCAGTAGAGTTGGGCAGCCATGAGCTTCTAGGAACTATTTCCGAGTCTCCCTGAAGCCTTTCCTGTTGTCTTGATGCCATCCTATGCTATCTTCCTGACCGTCTGTGTCCCTACAGGGCACTTACCACAGTGTGGGAGGAGGTCCTCACCTTTCTTCCTTCTCTGCCCTACAGACGGTGAGCTCCTTAAGGTAGAGAGTGGGTCTTTCATCTTTCTAGTCCAGTAAGAACTTGCAAGCAGAAAGTGTTCCTTAAATATTTACTAAAGTTTTAAATGGACAAAGTCGCTACAGGTGTGAGTGTTCCCAAAAACACTTGTTTTGCTTTTATAATTGATTATTTTAGGGGGAGACATTTAATTCTTTCTTTCTAATTACTTTTTCATTTATCTTTGCAGGCTCCACATACATGGCTCAAAACGTCTGGTCCAGTGGCTAAAAGCTGTTCACAGAGATGACTGGACACCACTAAGTATTCTTTCATCTGTAGTGAACATTTCACCAAAAAAAGCTCTTGGAAAGGCTGGAGGATCAGTACTACGTGCTCAAGCCCACGGTCATGCCCTCCATCTTCCTCCTGACTGAGAAGGGGTTGCTGAAGGCCGAGGCCACCCCAGGAGAAAGGACACCAGGAAGGCCGCCGGGGGCCCTAGGAACATTCGAGTGAATCAGATGGGAAAGGATCTGCAGGTTCATCATCGTCCTTGAGGGAAAACCTGAGGGCCCAACCAGGGTCCTGCAAGTTGAAGCGAGCCACTCTGCAGGGTGAACCCGCACCCAGTGCCACCCAGGAAGTCGCCAGTCAGGAGAGGGTGCAGAGTCTCTGGAAGGAACTCCAGGAGACAGCCTGACAGCGTCAGGCAGCCAGGGAGATGCAAACACGTCTGCTGTAGATGCTGGCGATGAGAGCCCCTCTTCCCTGCCAGGGCCTGCTAGTTAAGAGTGGCCTTTCTGTGGGTGACTTTATCCCTCATGATCTGACGCGTACAGATTTATTGGCTAACTTCCTTCTTACAGTTTCTTCTCAGAGCACACTTGAGAGAGGCCATCTGTCTCTCGAAGCCTGTTGACCGAAAGAGGCTGAAGAGAGATGTGGAGCCCAGCTGCAGCAGGACCAGCCTGGGGCCTGAGGAGGGCTTGGCCCAGAGCCCCCAAGTTCATCATTCACAATGATGCCTCAGAAACCCTCCCAGAGCCCCTCAACACTCCAACAGACATCACCCCGAAGCCAGCCGCAGAAGCTGTGCAGGGCGAGCACAGCGACACCAGACCCACGTCCCTTAGCGGAGTTATCCTGTCAGTGCTGGGGACCAAAGAACTCCTCGACTTGCTGCACTCCTACTGCTTCTGCTCCCGGGGAACAGGAGCACAAGTGCCGCCTGTGGGAGCAGGTGGATAGAACAGCGAGCTGAAGAGGGGCAGCCACCGACAACCAGGTGCACTCGCTGCAGGAGGAGCTGGACGAGCTGAAGGGAGGGGGCTCCCTGCCTGAGAAGCCTGCTGCCCCAACCGAGGTCAGTCCCAGGGCTTGGGGCTCCCCCACTGCCTGCTCATCATGAGGGGTTTCCTGCTCCACAGCAGATGGCCCCTGAACACTTCTGTGTGCAGCCTGCCTGCTGCTGTCTTGGGAGAAGGCTCTGCTGGTAGCCGCCCCTCGCAGACAGCGAGCCCAGATTGCAGAGCTTACCTCGCTTTCTCTAGGGCGCTCGAGAGAAAGTGGTAGTTGTCAGGGTTTAGCTGATGGGAAAGGAGGCATTGCAGGTCAGCTGGGAAAGCCAGACCTATGCAATGAATGGTGCCTGGACGGTTGGTTTTCCACTTGAATAGGAGAAAGTCAGCTTCTGTGGCATCTCTCACACAAATGTAAATTCCAATGAGTTAGGATCTAAATGTGAAATAAAATCGACAGTAAACTGTTAGAAAAGTTATAAGAGACTCTTAAAGTTATGGGGAGTCTCC